AGCTTTGTGTGCCGTTTGAGGAGAGAGCGAGAGAGAGAGAGAGAGAGAGAGAGAGAGAGAGAGAGTATTGTGTGAGTGCAGTGTACACATTCTGCTTACACCGTTTGAAAAAGCCCTACTCAGACCTGAACTGGTCATTCAGTCTCTCACAGCCACACCCACTCTGACCCACTCCCACAATGCACCATGATTCCATAGGTCAAGGGGTCACAAGTAGCCTCTGGTCTCCATGACAACATCGTGGAAGTGGGGGGAAGACTGTGACAAACACTCTCTCTCTCTACCACCCACACATCCACAGTCTCCTGGCTGGAGTGGAAGCTCCAACCCAAACATTTACATCAGACCACATCAATGTCTGACTATGAACACTGCAGACTGCAGGGGCACCACAGACCACCTATAGCTGCCAGAGGATATGGAACAAAAACACTAAGGCTGACACACACACACTTCCCCTGAGAGGAGTGTTGTTGTAGAGGTCAGGCTCAAATAAACTGCTTTTTGGACAATCAATAATACATTAAATGGAACCTATCTGGCAGAAATGCAACGTTTCTGCTTTTCTCGCATGATACGTGGACCATTAAAATTATAATGTATAAATTGCCATTTTCCAGGTTGCCAATAATGTCAACAGTGCTTCAGGCGATCCGAGTCCACACAGCTGGAGAAACGTGGGCTGCACTTCGCTTCCTTCAGCTATTTTGGCAACAACACCGGTCAGAATCCTGTAAAGTTGACAGGAAGACTGAATAGGCTACAACTTAAGTAGGTGGTCCGACGCATTCCAGGCCCCGGCAGGGAGTTGTATATTAAGTTAAAAAATAGAATGGAGTAATCATGTAACTAACTGGTTATAAACTGCTGTGATTCGGCGATAGTTGCAAGACACTGGCGATTATCCTCGGTTGCGGTGTATTTAATATTTTCTTGGCTAGGCTAAATTAATCGGCCCCGTGCATGTTCGCCAGGGACGTCGGTATGCGGGTAAAGTATCTGAAAAAACTTCTGAATAATATTTCAATTAGCCGGTGATCTAACCAGTGTAAAAAAAAAAAAAATACTCAGTTTGCAGAAGAACGTGAGTCAACATTTTTAGTGGTTGTGGGAGCAGCGTGCATTCTAGCTGCTGCTGCAGCAAGCGCAAGACAATAAAATAAAAATTGGCGCTTACCATATTTTCTATGCAGATTCTTTCTCAGGCAATAGATGTTTCGTTTGGTAGCCAATCAACTGAATAGCTATAAAATCCGTTGTTTTGAGTTGGCATCTCTCGGGACTTTGCAGAGAAGACACATTTTCGCAATGGCAACTGCAGAATTAACCACTGCCGCTTGCTCGCTGTCTCTTTTCCCTCTCTGTGATTTGAACTGCGCTGCGCAGAGAGAGTGGTCAGTGAACAAAGGGGGAGGTTATAGGGAGGAGGGAGAGAATCGAACCCAACCTGTCCTGTGCCGGCGCTTGGCGTGTAGGAACACTGGCGCCACTTAGTGGTACAATCATGAGTTGACAGGCATTTGAGAGAGGCTCATCTCAACATACAATAACAGAATCAGAATCGGCTTTATTCGGCAAGTACATTAACATGCACCAGGAATTTGACCTGGTAAAATGGTGCTGCCACAATAAACAGAATATACAAGCAGAACATATTGACGATAAAGATAATATATAGACGGAATATATATTTACACCAAGTACATTTACATGTAACAGGAATTAGCAACAAAAACAATCCTCAGGTGCAAGATGAAAATGATAGTTTATGTAATGAGGTTCACTGACCACAAGATGGCACTGTTGCAGTAGACAAACACTAGGGTCATGGTGGTCTTGCGTAGCCGTACTTCCAAAATCACATTGTTGTCACGCCTCCTGGTTATGGTTCATGGCCACACCACTAGGGTTGGGGTCCACACAACACACAATACAAAACTCATGGAGATCCTATAATTCACTATTCTATATGCTTTCTATGTAGTTCTCCCCTCCCCTGGTGGTCCTCACTGACACATTTGCACACACACGCACGCACACCAGAGGAGGCTGGTGGAAGGATCTATAGAGGTTGGGCTCATTGTAATGTCTGAAATGAAATAAATTGAACTTTCCATATGTTTGATGTAGGATAATGTTCCATTTATTCCATTCCAGTCTTAACAATGAGCCCCTCCTCCTATAGCTCCACCCACCAGCCTCCTCTGACGCACACACAGTGTGTATCAGCGTAGCTGTGTGTGTTTTCAGGATGGAGCGTTTCTGGTGAGGGACAGTTCCAAGGCTCTTCTGAGCAGCTGTACACCCTCATGGTGCTGAACCAAGGCAAGGTCTACAACGTCCAGAAACGTCACCAAGGCAACACATACCACCTGGGCACCGGCCTCATGGGTATCGAGGTAAACAAACAGCCTCCTCTCTCTCTGCTCTGTCAACAAATTCACTCATAAACTAGTATTCTACGTTAATTTTTTTAATATATTTTTTAAAGGTATTTCATGATTTAATTGAACAGATAGTGAGAGAATGACAGTAGGAAAATATAGAGGTTGTGTCCCATTAGATTCAAACCTTCCTAGACTGATGGAGGCTGCGTCATTACCACTAGACCAGACAGGGGAATTCAAGGCTTTTCTACTTAGCATACCAATGCAATTCAACGTTGGTCATCTAGCTAGCAGGCACTTTTATCTCAAGCGGCTTACAGTTTACAGATCTGGGCCTCAGGCTGTAGGGTTTATTGGCTGTGCCAGGAGAAGCACCACCCACTTGTTGTCTTGATGCCTTAACACATCATAAACTAACCAATGGTTCTTTCCCTTCTCTGCTGCTGCTGCTGCTGTGTCGCTGATGCAGAGTTTCCCAGGAGTGAAGGAGATGATAGACCACTACACACACACACCTCTGCTGCTCATAGACATGGAGAGAGGAACTGGAGCACAGAGCCAGTGCTGCCTGCTGCACCCTGCAACACTCTGACCATAACCAGCAACACAGTGTGTGTGTGTGTGTGTGTGTGTGTGTGTGTGTGTGTGGTGTGTGTGTGTGTGTGTGTGTGTGTGTGTGTGTGTGTGTGTGTGTCTCCTCCCTCACTCCTCAGCCTGAGGTCCAGTCTTGGGCCAGGTCACCCCCTGTTCCACTCTATTCAGAGAGGCCATCTTGTCTGGGTGGCTGAAGCACACGATCAGGTCACACTGTCTCAGCTGGATCCACACTGTGAGGCACAACAGAAAAATTAAATAAAATATATCCCTGTACAAACAAAATCCAATCCAATACGAAAGGAGAGCTGAATTATTTTCTTCTTATAGGAAACAAACAAGAAACCCCATAAGAAAATCAAGAGGAGAAATGTCTATCTGTTCATTATTTATAATAAGATACAGATGTTATGATAATGTTAATCTCTCAGATGTCATATTATTGTTGTGTCGCAGGGATGTCATGTGTTGTGTCAGTCTCTCTCTCTCTCTCTCTCTCTGATCAAAGCTCCTCATTTTCCCTCTGGGCTGGAGCCTTGGCTGATACGTTGTCTAGTCAGATAGGAAGGATTACTACAGACTGACTGTTGAGTCCCAAATGGCACCCTATTCCCTGTCTAGTGCACTACTTTTGACCAGGGTCCATATGACTCTGTATGTAAGGAATATGGTGCCTTTTGGGACACAACCTGACTGTTGTAGTGCTGAATGCTTGTTTGCCCACTAACCGTCTCCCTTGGCAGAGACAAGACACAGCTTCATATCTTCACATCAAATCATCTCATAATGAGACTTCCTGTAATAGCCTACACACATCTCCCCATATCTAACACATCAACCGGGGGCCTATCCTATCCAAAGGCCATCCATAAACCACATTCTGAGATGTTGAACATCTGAACATCATGGCTGAATTGCACGGCGGTTCGTTGGCTAGCGGGTCGAAATGCTATTTTGGATGCGTTGGAGGAAGATCGCATTTCAGAGCTAACGCAACAGTTACATCACTCAATTTGCATAGTATCTACAAATTGGAACGCTGATTGAGTCCCAAATGACACCCTATTCCCATAGTGCACTACTTTTTACCAGAGCCCTACAGACATACGTACATGCCAGTCTGTCCAGACACTCAGACATGGAGTCCAGACCCTTCAGAATGTGGTCCAGATCAGTAGTCACCCTGTTCTGTCCTCCTCTCTCTTCTCTCCATCTGAAACACCACAGACAGTCAACTAGATGACATAGCTGTACTGACTGAATGTAATGTCAACCTGCATGGCCACTGATTCACATAGAAATCCATACAGTAGCCTGGTATATTCATCTCTCACATTCATTGACATAGGCCTACTACTCTGAACAATTCAACTGTGAAGTAGAAAGTGGACAGTACCATTACTGCTGGGGGTAGGACTGGGATGTGACTATCAAGACGTAGAATGTCAACACGTGTATGCACATTTTACCAACCGCTTTTGGCATCCCAATAAACAAGCCAACGATCAATATTCTCATTAAAGCTTTTTATAAAACATTTGACAAACAGGCAAACCACTCATTAATAACAATCACAAGAACACTAGAGTGCCTTGAACACCCTGTCCAGAGATGTATCATACACAGTCTATAACAGGTACTTAACACACAACCACAATCTGTTACAACAGCATCATACAACAGCATCATACAGCAGCACCATACAGCACCACCATACAGCAGCACCATACAACAGCACCATACAACAGTCTGCTGCTCAGCTTAGACAGCATGCACTGTGGGGCAGGATACATCTATTTCTATCACCAGTGGATTCTGCTTCTGTCAGAGAGAGAGAGAGAGACTGCTGCTGCACATATGAGACTCTAGTCTATTGTACATTAAACTGCAACAACGTTGTAGACAAGCATACAGAGCACGGGCTACTAGCTTTGGATTAAGGTCAGAACAGCAGACAATCCTAGTGAATCATGCATCTCTGTTAGTGGGGTGGAGGTGGTATCCATCCACTGGTCTAGGTCACTCCTCCATCCACTTCCACTTCCCCATCCCCTGGTCCTTTCCCAGTCCCTGTCCCTGGTTCGGCTCCTGTTCCCCAGGGAAGCCACAGATGACAGCCCTGCAGTGGAGGAACTCTTCCTCCAGCCTCTGTAGGGAGTCCCCCAGATCAGGACTGGTCCACTGCAACACCATGTCATAGGCCATCCATGTCAGCTGCACTGGGAAACCACAAGGGAGACAAGAGGGACAGGGCTGTCAGTGTCAGAAGTGGGCTGTACTGAGTATGATTTAAAACACAAGGCAGAATTTTTAAATGAATTACACACACCCATTAACTTTTTAAAATGCAATATTAAAGGGTGGGTAGTAAATGGACAATAGGGCGATAGGGCGATAGGGAGTTAGGGTTTAATTTTCCTTAATCCTTTCTGAAAATAACAGCTTTAGCTACCTACGTCATCATACAGAAAACCTAGATGTAAAATGATTCGAAAAGTACACAGCCTACAACATTCAAATGGTAGAGATTACCATAATAAGACAACATAACTGATAGATTTTCTACGTCTTCAATCATTCTCTCTAAACCCTTGCTCAACTCCATTATCTCTACTCCACTGTCCTTTTGATGGTCGCCGGATGAAGCCGGAGAATAGGCCATCTATAAACGCGCGATATTTATATGAAAATTCGAATCCCAAATGAATAGCCTACCAAAACCAACCATAATTTAAGCACACTGAAAATGTTTAATGAACGTACCATAATCATAATGGATAAACAGCTAAGTAGGTACAATGCAAGGACGTGCTTAAGCTTAAGTTAATAAACTTCAAAACTGTTTTGTTTTGATGACTTTGATTGACAGGTGTAGGTTAGCAGCTAGCTCACCTTATTTCAGTTGGCTGGCAAGGCTAACCGTTGCAAAAATGTATCCGAAGTAAACAAATGGTAGTCAGTGAACTTGTCAAGCTTGGATACAATAACCAACTTTAGAGTACTTCAATTAAATAGGTACCTTCTTATTTATAAATATTTACAAGTGAACTAAATACTTACGATAAGCTCTAACGTTATATTGATCGGATCGTTATCTAGCGGTCTCTTCCTGTTATCTTGGTTGTTTGTTAGAGAAACTGCGCACTGCAAACTTGCTGCCTCGTGCCACGGGAAACAATGTAGCTTGTATGGAAGACTGAAACATTGTTGCAAATTCACAAAACGCTTTCTTGAGTTTTGATACATTGATGCATTCATCGTTTCAATTTCATATTTTCGCGCGTCTTCATTCTTGCTGCATAGTGACGAAAGTGAAGTGAGGAACGGGAGGAGGGACGTCTGTAAACTACACTCGGACTGTGACCCCTTTGGTCACTTTATTTGTCTTATGATCAGTTACAATGACGCTCATTATTGTAAACTTATACGGGTACAACACCAAGCATGAGAATGATGAGTTGCTTGAATCTGTAGAGAAACATATACTTAATTGGTTATCGAAATTTCCCAATTCGTTATTATTGATAGAAGGGCACTTTAACATTACAATAGATAATTCATCTGATAGATGGCCCCCAGGTAGGCCAACTAATCAGAATTTGTGTTTAATTATTTTTATGGAAAAGTTGTATCTTACTGATATATGGAGAGAGAGGTTTCCGGCCGACAGATCATTCACTTGGAGTGACAAAACAGGTTCCAGGCCAGTCCAGAATAGATTTTTGGTTGATGTGGAAATGTATTGAAAGTGAGTGTGTTACTACAAATATTTATACTACTCCCCTCACAGAATATAGGGCCATTCACATTGATGTCAAAATATTTACACCTAATATTAACCTTGGTAGAGCATCCTACTGGAAGCTAAATAGCTCCTTATTAGATAATGATATAGTTAAGTTTGAGGTTAAAGGTCTGCTCTCACACGTTTGGGAAAGGGCTTGTGAAGATCAATCAAATGTATTTATATCAGCAGATGTAAAAAGAACTGGGAGCTCTTTAAAATTTGAGCCAAATACCTTAGAAAATATGGTAATACTCTTCCTAAGGCCAGAAGAGCTGAGGAGGAAAAGGTGATCATTAAGATAACTTCCCTTTCTCAGAGGTCCACAGCCGGCCTCTGGGGAGGAGCAGATGGAACTGATTGAGTTACAAAATAAACTGGATAGTATACAGTACCTGTCAAAAGTTTGGACACACCTACTCATTCCAGGGTTTTTCTTTATTTTTACATTGTAGAATAATGGTGAAGACATCAAAACTATGAAATAACACATATGGAATCAAATAGTTACCAAATAAATATATTATATATTTGAGATTCTTCAAAGTAGCCACCCTTTGCCTCGATGACAGCTTTGCACACTCTTGGCATTCTCTCATCCAGCTTCATGAGGTAGTCACCTGGAATGCATTTCAATTAACAGGTGTGCCTTGTTAAAAGTTAATTTGTGGAATTTCGTTCCTTCTTAATGCGTTTGAGCCAATCAGTTGTGTTGTGACAAGGTAGGGTTGGTATACAGAAGGTAGCCCTATTTGGTAAAAGACCAAGTCCATATTATGGCAAGAACAGCTCAAGTAAGCAAAAGAGAAACGAAAGTCCATCATTACTTTAAGACATGAAGGTCAGTCAATCTGGAACATTTCAAGAACTTTGAACGTTTCTTCAAGTGCAATCGCAAAAACCATCAAGTGCTATGATAAAACTGGCTCTCATGAGGACCGCCACAGGAAAGGAAGACCTCTGCTGCAGAAGACAAGTTCATCAGGGTTACCAGCCTCAGAAATCGGCAATTAACTGCACCTCAGATCGCAGCCCAAATAAATGCTTCACAGAGTTAAAGTAACAGACACATCTCAACATCAACTGTTCAGAGGAGACTGCGGGAATCATGCCTTCATGGTCGAATTGCTGCAAAGAAACCACCACTAAAGGACACCAATAAGAAGAAGAGACTTGCTTGGGCCAAGAAACATGAGCAATGGACATTAGACCGGTGGAAATCTGTCCTTTGGTCTGATGTGTCCTAATTTGAGATTTTTGGTTCCAACCGCCGTGTCTTTGTGAGACGCAGAGTAGGTGAACGGATGACCTCCGCATGTGTGGTTCCCACCGTGAAGCATGGAGGAGGAGGTGGTGGGATGGTGCTTTGCTGGTGACACTGTCAGTGATTTATTTAGAATTCAAGGCACACTTAACCAGCATGGCTACCACAGCATTCTGCAGTGATACGCCATCCCATCTGGTTTGCGCTTAGTGGGACTATCATTTGGTTTTCAATAGGACAATGACCCAAAACACACCTCCAGGCTGTGTAAGGGCTATTTGACCAAGAAGGAGAGTGATGGAGTGCTGCGTCAGATGACCTGGATATCCACAATCCCCTGGATACCCCCCCCCCCAAGGGAGGCTCCTGATGACCAAACGGCACCGGAGGGTGGAGTGGGTGGGCGGGGGAGCAAAGGTGGCCGCCTACCTTGGGGGCGAGGTCCGGCAGGCTGGTTCGACACGGTCGTGGACTGACCCGACGTTCTGCATCGAGGCTGATGTCCGGTGGGTTTGTTCGGGGGTCGATCCCGAGGTCGGGGAGCAGGACGATACGGTGGAATGCCTGAATCATCTCTGGGTCGAGGATGTCCTGGTCGGGGACCCAGGACCGGGCTTCAGGCCCATAACTTTCCCAGTCCACAAGATAGTGGATGTGACTTCTCAGGAGTTTGGAATCAAGGATGGCCTGAATGGCGTAGGCAGGTTCCCCTCCGACATCCAACTGCGGGTTGAGACTGGAGGATGAAGAGGACTGTAGGTGACCGGTTTTAACAGAGACACAAGGAAGGACGAGGAGATTTTATACTGACGGGGTAACTGGAAGCAGTATGTGACAGGGTTAATGCGATTATCTTGAAGGGACCAATGAAGCGAGGACAGAACTTTTTGCAGGGGAGGCGGAGCCAGATGGCTCTGGTAGAGAGCCACACATGCTGTCCGGGGTGAAAGAGTGGCGTAGGTCGGCGGCGTCTGTCGTTAAAGCATTTCTGGGTATTAGAGGCTTCCTGCAGATGCCGGTGAGTGGTTTCCATACCCGCTCACTACGACGAAACCAGTCGTCGACAGCTGGGACAGTACCAGGCTCCGCCTCCCAAGGAAACATGGGGGGTTGGTAACCAAGGACACACTGAAAGGAAGTAAGGCGAAGGGATGAATGCATGAGTGAGTTCTGAGCGTATTCGGCCCAGGCCATATACAGACTCCAGTCGTGCGGAGAGGCAGAACATTGGTACTTCCCTATTTCTTGGTTCAGGCGTTCCGTCTGCCCATTGGTCTGGGGATGGTACCCGGAGGAGAGGCTGAGGGCGACACCCAGTCGGTCACTGAAGGCTCGCCACACCCGGGAGACAAAGTGGGGCCCGCGGTCAGAGACGATGTCCTCCGGAATCCCATACAGATGGAACACCTGCTGGAACATACACTCAGCCAATTCCATTGGGTTAGGTAAATGAGGACGAGGAACCAGACGACACATTTTTGAAAAACAGTCTACTATGAGAAGGATGGTGGTGTTACCAGAGGATTCAGGAAGGTCTGTGATGAAGTCAACAGCTATGTGGGACCAGGGTCTGTGAGGGATTGGCAAAGGTTGAAGCTTACCGGAAGGGAGATGACAAGGGCTTTTGGTTTGGGCGCAGATTGGACAGGAGAGTACGCAATCCCTGACGTCGGACGCCAGTGAGGACCACCAGAATTTACGGGCTAGAAGTTTGGTGGTTCGTGTAATGCCCGGATGTCCTGACCCCAAGGACGTGTGACACCATTGCATCAGTTGGGGTCTAACAGCTGCTGGTATGTAACTCTTCCCAGCTGGTGTCTCAGGAGCAGCCGGGTCTGAGGTTAGGGCTTCTTGTATGGCAGAGTGAACCTCCCACTGTACCAGTCCCATAATGCAAGAGGAAGGAAGAATGGGTGTAGGGTCTGAGTTACTGGTTGGAAGGTCAAACTGGCAGGAGAGAGCATGAGCTTTTATGTTTTTCTTTCCAGGGATGTAAGTAACATGAAAATGGAAGTGTGTGAAGAAGAGAGCCCAGCGGGCTTGTCTGGAGTTTAACTTCTTGGCCCCTCTGATATATTCCAGATTATGGTGATCTGTTAGGACGAGAAAGGGATGTTGTGCGCCATCCAACCAGTGGCGCCACTCCTCGAGGGCCAGCTTGATGGAGAGAGTATGGCTCTTACTCCTACTTCGGAGGCATCCACCTCCAGGGTGAAAGGAAGGGACGGATCAGGTTGGTGAAGGACAGGATCTGAGGTGAAGAGGCGTATCAAGATGTTGTAAGCTGTAACGTCATTCAGGGAACGGTAATAATACATGGACGAAGACCACCGTCCTTTTTTCCAACTAAGAAGAAGCTGGACGCAGCCGGAGAATAAGAAGGACGAATGAAACCGTTTGAGTGCTTCATCAATGTAGTTCTCCATTGCCTCATTTTCCGGGATAGATAGGGGGTAAACACGGCCCTTCGGTGGGGACACTCCAGGGAGTAAGTCAATAGCACAGTCCCCTGGGCGATGTGGTGGCAGAGTGGAGGCCTTGATTTTGCTGAAGACATTGCTGTACTGGGCGTATTCAGATGGTGGGTGGCGCTGCAGAGGCAGAGTCCTCAATG